CATCCTCACACAGACGAACATACAGACAAAACACCAATGCACACAAAATAAAAATAAAGAGATTGTTTTTAAAAATACACACACACAAAATAGTGTCTGGTGCTTGATTCCTAAAAGATTTCCAAAAACTACTCCGTGCGATCTTGTCATCCTCCTAGACTGAGGTAGTAGGGTTGCGGTTCCAGACTAGTCAGACCACCTCATATAAAACAAAACACCATTGTCTTACTTGGAAGATGGAGGCAGGAGGCTTAAGGAGTCATCTTGCTATCTAGTCCTAAGTCAACCTTGGCTTAGGACTAGATGACAACTAGTCCTACATGACTACATGACAACTCATGTAGCCTTGAGACAGCTACATGAGAGCCTGTCTCAAGAAGGGAGGAGAGGAGGAGGGAAGAAGAGGTAGGAAGAGGAGAGGAGGAGACACAGCAGCCTGACAAACTTGGGCGGGGGCGGGAGTACGACTGGAAGAAACACACACACACAAAGTCGGAGGACAGAACGGTAGCCCCCTCTGTTCTAAACGTCAAGTCCCGCACCTGCACGCCTCAAATGTCTGTCTCCTACTCTCTGTTGTTCCTGCAACCCATTTCCCGGGCAGTAAAACCAAGAAACGGCCCCTTCTCTTTCAGGAACCAGGCCATAAAGAACCCAAAAGTCTGTGCCTTCAAGGGCCAATTCATTTGCCATCTCCCCAAGGGACAGGGCTGACCCGACTCCCACGCTGTGCTATTAGGGTTCCCTGCACTCGTCTCTCAGCTCCCTCTAGGGGCAGAGAGTCTCCCAAGCGCCCCACAGCAGCCTAAGCCCTGCCGACCTTCGGGGGCAAGCGGAACTCAGGTGAGCAGGCGCGTCTCTCCTAGGGCTGCTACTTCCGCGCAGAGGTTGGGAGTCCCAGCGTGGGCAGGGAACCCCTCCTCCGCAGCGAGCCGCCAGGCACCCTTCGCCCTGTGCTGAGCTAGCACTTTGCAGACGCTCCCTAGGCAGTTTCTAGGCTCCCCTAAATCCCTCCTCCAGGCTCCTCCGGTTCCTCGTACCCTAACCTAGAACAGCCCAGAGCAGCACCGAGGAAAGGGTGCCCACTGACCCTTTTCCCAGTGTTGAGCCTGCGGGAGGTTCACTGTCATAAAGCAGCTCCCATTTCCCGGAACCCAGCTGGGTAGGCTGCCGACTGACGCTCCAGACGAGGCGCTTGTTTATGAAAAGAATTTCCTCTTTCTTAAAAGGGCAACAAGAGGAGTGGGGCCCGGAAGGAGCAACGAAGGGACAGGTCTGGCGCAACCCGGACAGCTGCCAGAGAGGGTGCTTGGGCAAGAGTGTCTCCTCGTTGGCTTGGTGCTTGCCCCTGGAGAAGATGGGACCCGAGAGAGTGAAGACGGGTAGGGGGCTACTGAAGAACGCATTCCCCCAAATTCCCCCTCTGTTTCTCCTAAGTGCCCCCCAACTTGCTGCACATTCTGGTAATTCACTTGAGATTAATTGGATTACTTTTTTTTTTTTTTTTTCCTGTTGGAGGCCCTGTGCTTCTTAGAAGTGGAAAAGAGGTAAAGTCCTGAACTAAAAAGGATGTCAGCTGTCAGGGAGCTCTCACAGGAAGGGGTGGGGGTGGGGCTAAATAAACAAGAACCGTGACAGGATGAGGCCAGACACCTGACCCAGTGAGTTCAGGGAGAGCCGCTGAGCACAGGATTGGGCTGTCAGTGAGTGTGTCTAGAGTGCATAGTTCTCAGATGCTGTGGAATGGAGCTGGGGGACCCAGAAAGAAGGGGAGGCTGAGCGTATGAAGAATTAATTAAGTGTAGGATTTAGAATGGACGCTGAGAAGGTAAATTTGGCTTAGATGACTGCACTTCCCAGCACCCCTGGCAGAGAATGGCATATAGCAGCTCACAACAGCCTGGAACTCCAGCTCCAGGGGACGTGGTACTCATCTAACCTCGATCCTAATACTCGCGGCATACACTATCACATACACAAATGCATTATGGCACACACCTTCCTATGATGACTCTGGAGGCAGAAGCAGAAGCAGGCAGATTCTACACATTCGAGGCAAGCAAGTAGCAAGTTCCAGGCCAGCAAAAGCTACATAGTGAGACTTTGTCTCAAAGTAATCAATAATTATAATAGTGAAAGTAAATCTTGGGGCCAGTGAGATGGCTCAGTAGGAGAACTCGGGTTCCAGCCTTGGTCTGGACATGTTTGGTCTGTATTGCTGCCCTCACACACAAAGAAATATTTAAAAACTTTTCCTTTTATTTTATTGTTTTGTGTTTTCAAGGCAGGGTTTCTCTTTGTAGCTTTGGCTGTCCTGGAACTTGCTCTGTAGACCAGGCTGGCCTCAAAACTCAGAGATCCTCCGCCTCCTGAGTGCTAGTATTAAAGGCGTGCACCATCACCCTGCTGATTTTTTTAAAAAGATGAGAGTCAGCATAGGGGCTACGGAGGTCCAGGGTCAGAGATGAGGTCAGATCAAGGTCAGCTGTTTCCAGCCAGAGGCCACTAGTTAGGGTAACCCCCATCTCCTTGGTAGACCCAGTGAATGCAGCCCCCAAACTCTGGTTGAATTTAAGGAAGGAGGCCTACGTTAGAGTCTCTCTAGAAGCTCCAGAGGCTGCCACCTGCCCCATTCTGCCAATGGGAGCAAATGGAAACCCGAGGTGCTGGATGGAGGGACCCTTGTGTCAGTTGCCCTCCAGGAGCTTGTTGAGTCCTCTTTGTCTTCCCCCCTAGCTAGCAGCCCACACTATTGTTTTTCCTGGGATGTAACCATTGAATTAACAATCCTAATAGATTGTGTGGGTAAAGCCCGCCTCCTCAACTGCTTGGAGGGAGAGTAAACAGCAGCTGAGATGGATCTACACTTCCCTTGAGGAGACAAAAAAATCTGCCTCCAGACTGGGAGTGCGGTTCTCACTCACAGTGTGGTACCAGAACGGGGAGAGAGCTGCAGAGCTTCCAGCAGAAGGTGAATCCATCTGGACTGGCTCTCCCTTGTTTGGGGGTAGCTCCTGAGGATTGATGTGAGCTTAGATGGTGAGTTTGTGAGTATTCAGGGTTAGGGTTAGGGAACGACAGGAATCGAAGGCAGTCAGCTGCCTGGCAAGTCGCAGGACAAAGGATCATTCAAGCTCGGGTCACAAATTTCCTTTTGGGGACAGCTGAGAGCTGAGGCACCCCCGGCGAGCCTGGCCGAGAAGAGCCTGGGTTTGTGCCTTCAGTTTTCCAAGCTATTTCCTTTTCTGCCAAAAATGTGAGAAGGCTATCGTTCTCCTGAGGAGTCCAGAAGACCCAGAGGGCAATTTAGGGCGCGCGACCCAGGGCGTCAACACACAGGAGGTGAAGACCTTGGGGTGTAAGGATGATGGTTATAAGGCTCCCCAAGAGCAGAAGCAGAAGTCAAGGATCAGCACCCCACATTTCCTGCTGGTTTGGGGTATTGAGCTGGTTCTCCTGCAGAGCGGCTAGAGCACCGCCAGCCACGCCCCCGGCTGACTTTCTGGTGGGTTGCGACGGGACGCGCCCGCCCCGCCCCAGTGCCTGGGGCAGGAAGTGGCCAGGCGTTCGTGTCAAGACTTGGCGTTCGTATTTTTCTTTCTTTTTTTTTTTAATTACGACGAATGAAAAGAACTTTATAAAACGGGAAGAATAAAAAATAAAAATAAACGAACCGCAGCTCTAGAGAGGCGCAACTGGGGGCTTCCCGTGAGAAGACCCTGAATGTAAACGGAGACCTAGACAATGGCTGGGGTGTGTCGCCACAGGTCCGCTAACACGCGTGTTTAAAAAATACATAGTTGCAGTCTCAGGCGCCCAAGGGCGGACGCTGGACCCTCCCTCCACAGGCGTCCTCTAGGCACTTGGGAACACAGCCAGCCCTGGAACTGGCCTCTCTAATAATCACAGATTGGGCAGGCGGGGTAGGGGTGGGGGCCTGTAAACAAGGTGGAATTTCTTCTAGTTCGATGGGATTTGGTTCTGCCAAGGACACGGAGGCATGTTCCAAGCCGGCGGGACAACACGTACAAGAGACCTTGAGCGCTAAATGGCTTGGCAATCGGTAAAGGTAGGCGCGGAAGTAGAATTTTTCACATCCTGTGGTGCCCTAGTGGCTGCGGAGAGTGCTGAGTTATAGTTGGAATAAAAACATAATTTGGGACTGAAGAGATGGCTCGGCGGTTGACAGAATGTACTGCTCTGGCAGACTCCCCGAGTGAGTTGGGACACCAGCAACACATACAGGGCGAATAACAACTGCTTTTAACTCCAGTTCCAAGGGATCTGACGCCCTCTTCTGGCCTCCGTAGGCCATACATCATACACAGGAAAAAGAAAAACTTCCTAAAACTCCATAATTTGATAAGCTTGCACAACTGGAACTAGCAAAGAGTTCCTTTTTTTCTCACGATATAAACGTTAGACAAAAGACCTATTGTAGGGGCAGGTTTGGTTCCTCCATCACCGGGTGGAAGAAGACAACTTCTGATCTTCACTGGTGGCACACACATCTCTCCCATAAACAAGTGTAATTTTAAATTTTTCTAGGGACTGGAAAGATGGCTCAATGGCTCTCGCTACTTTTGAAAGTACCCAGTTTCCGTTCCTAGGACACACAACCACCTGTTAACACCAGTTCTAGGCAAAATTAACGCCCTCTTCTGGCGCTGATCGGCACTGCACACACATGGTGCACACGTATTTGTAGGCCATACACATAAAATTTTAAAATTTAAAAAAATTAAGCACCCGTTTTACAGAAAGTTCTCATCATCCCATTTCCCAGAGGAACAAACGGAGGCAGCCAAGATCAGCCCCTTGGAATGCGCGGAGGTGGAGCTGCGTGGCCTTCAGGCACTCCTGGGCCGGGTGCTTGGGGCGGGCCTCAGGCCCTGGGCTCCCTGACTTGCAGCGGCCGGTTACCGCTGTCCGCCCTGCCACGCAGCCGCAGAGGCTCGGTCCTGCTAGAACGCCGCAGGAAGAGAGGCGACGCCCCCTGGATCGCCGCAGGAACCAGGCCCGCCTTCCAGTCCGCCAGGCCCCAGAAGTGATGAAAGCTGCGGCCGAGCCCTGGTCCCGCCGAAGCCGTTGCCCTTTTAAGGGGGAGCCTTGAAACGGCGCCCGGGTTCCATGTTTGCATCCGCCTCGCGGGGAGGAAACTCCATGTTGTAACAAAGTTTCCTCCGCGCCCCCTCCCTCCCCCTCCCCCCGAGAACCTGGCTCCCCTCCCCTCCGAAGCTCGCGGGGATCCCTCCCTCCCACCCTCCCCTCCCCCCCGCGCCCCGATTCCGGCCCGAGCCGGGGGGGAGGCCGGGCGCCGGGGCCAGAGTCCGGCCGGAGTGGAGCGCGCCGGGCCCCATGGACAGCTCGGCCGTCATTACTCAGATCAGCAAGGAGGAGGCGCGGGGCCCGCTGCGGGGCAAAGGTACATAGGCGGCGGGAGGGGAGGTCGAGGCTAAGGGCTGTCCCCGCGCCGAAGCCGCTGCCAGTGCCCCGGGCGCGAGCCTTGGCCCAGCCCGAGCCCCCGCCAGCGGGGCCGGGGAGAGTTTGAACTCCGCGAGAGTGTGAGGCTCTGGGCGGGGCCTGGCGCCACTGGAGCGCTTGATATATTACTAGTGGGGAAACTGAGGCAGGAGGCAATCGCGGGGGTTAGTAGGCTGGCGATTCCCGGGCGTCGCCCCCTCCCCCAGTTTGGCGCCAATGGAACTGGGAGGTGGGGGTGAGGCGGCCTCCTGGCCACCCGTGGAGGCTCCGCCCCCTCCAGGCTAAGGTCTGGAAGGGGTGCCGAGGTGACAGCAGGCTGAGTAGTCTTGCAGGGATCTCCCGCCAACACACAACCACGTTCCCACAAACTCGGGCGTCACGCGTGGAGGTGCGGGCGACACCCTTGGAGGCAGAGAGCCACTAGGCTCGCAAGACAGACTCGCAAGCCCTGTGTCCAATTTGGCACAGGGCACCCCGGCTGCGGCCGGCCGGGCCAGTTGGCATCGGGCCTATGCACACTTGCTTCGACCCTGTAAGGGACGCCGCCTGCCGATGTGAAGCCCCTGGGGCTGGCCTGGTTGGGGACCACCCCCCCCCCTTCCCCTGTGTGAACTTCAAGATCGGGAAGTCCTTCAGAGTTTGTCCACCGTCCAGCCCGTTTCTTTGGGGGCTGGAAGCAGAGAAGCGGGGCGCGCGGGCAGCGGGGATTGTCTCTGCCTAAGGTTGAGACGGGGCAGGGTGGAGGAGGAGGCGGGGCTGACAGTTCTGGGACACTGGCCTCTGGGCCCAAGCTCAATGAGGACTTTGGACCCATGGGGTAGACAGAATGGAGGGAGAGTGGGAGTGGACGGTGGGGCCCCGAGCCCTGACGTTCTTTAGCTCCCCAGGTAAGGTGTGGGGTCTGGTGATTGAACACCAACCCTGGGGAAAAGATAAAGCACCTTGTCTGCTCCCTCCTTCCGCCTGCCCCCTCCTTCAGGCTTATCCACACCAGATTTCCTTATGTTGAAGAGTTGCAGGGACCTCTGGACGGGGCATTTCATGGAGGGCCAGAGGCACCCTGGTGTGGCTCTTCATGGAGGGAGAGAGCCTGTGTTCTCTGTGCTCAGGGATTGAGACCCGAGTGCATGGAGCCTCTGCAGGCCAGTGTGCCCACATTCACTCCTCGCTTTAGGTGACCAGAAGTCAGCAGCGTCCCAGAAGCCCCGAAGTCGGGGCATCTTCCACTCGCTCTTCTGCTGTGTCTGCCGAGATGATGGGGAGGCCCGGCCTGCCCACAGTGGGGCTCCCCTGCTGGTGGAGGAAAATGGCGCCATCCCTAAGGTGTGTCAGGAGGGAATTGCAGGTGCACTTGGGTCTAGTTGGAAGTGGAGCAGGCAGAAGGGGTCCTGGGGTGAACTTTACTGGCACACCTGCGGACACTAAAATGTTCAATAAAGGGAGGTGCCTTCCCATTACATTATGGTTTGCCCCTTCCCAACCCCACCCCCTGCCAACAGCTGTGGCTTGCCTGAGATCTGCATAGATCCCTTACACGTGGGAGCTTTCTGAGGCGAGGAAGAGGGATCCATGTAGAATACTCCTGGTCCACAGTTGGCGATGCCAAAGCTAGGAAGGGGTGGAAAAGTTGGTTGGGTCCTCAGATGAGAGCTGGGCAGGGAAGCCTGTGTGGGAGGTGCCCCACCCAGCCCCACCCCTCCCACAACAGACCCCAGTCCAGTACCTGCTTCCCGAGGCCAAGGCCCAGGACTCAGACAAGATCTGCGTGGTCATCGACCTGGACGAGACCCTGGTGCACAGCTCCTTCAAGGTGGGCCCTGCCCAGCAGCCCTCAGCCTGCAGTCTCTTGAGGGGGGCCTACTCTGGTCAGGGAGGGCGGTCTCTGCTGGACTTCCACCCCTGGGACTCCCTCCCTCCAAGCTCCAGCAACTCTTCTCTCCTCACAGCCTGTGAATAATGCTGACTTCATCATACCCGTGGAGATTGATGGGGTAGTTCACCAGGTGAGGGGCAGAGGGAGGTGGGGGCTTTGGCGTCTGCACTCTACACCCCAGGTACCTCCCTCTAATCTTGAGAGAGCCCCAAATGGAGCTTTGGTAGATGGGGGGGATGTCCAAGGCTCAAAGAGGGTGTGAAACCCAAGGCTATCTGGTACCCAAGGGATGGAGCCAGAGTCCCAGGCCTGCAGAATGGGCTCCTTCTCATCCTATCCGGTGGAGCCCTCTTGCCCCCACTGCCCGGGACCCAGTTCAAGTAATTCAGGATAGGTTGTGGTGCTGGCCAGCCTGTTCTCCATTACTTGGCTCGGGGGCCGGTGCCCTGCAGCCTTGGGGTGAGGGGGCTAACGTGGGCTCCTGCATTTGAATAAGACCTAGGTGGGAAAGTGGCTGGGGATTAGTGACTCTCACTAAGTGAGGTGGGACCACCAGAATTACATTCTGATTCTCTTTAGGAAGGGGATGGTTGGGGCAGCGTGCGGGCTTTGGGGGAGCACACAGATCCTGGAACAGCCTCCCTGGACCCCCGCCTCCTCTGTTACTCTGGTCCCATTCTTATCACCCCCAAGCCTGTGGGCCAGCAGCTCCCTCACTGGCTAATTCCCCAGGTCTATGTGCTGAAGCGGCCCCATGTGGATGAGTTCCTACAACGAATGGGCGAGCTCTTTGAGTGTGTGCTGTTCACTGCCAGCCTTGCCAAGGTGAGCCCTTGCCTGGGGTCTGGGCCATCCTTACTCTCCCACCGGCCTTCAACATACAACCAGATGCAGCCCTGGGCAGTAGTCACTCCTCACCCAGGAGTCTGACTTCCCTCCACCCCCAGTATGCAGACCCTGTAGCTGACCTGCTGGACAAGTGGGGAGCCTTCCGTGCCCGGCTGTTTCGAGAGTCGTGTGTCTTCCACCGGGGGAACTATGTAAAGGACCTGAGCAGGCTGGGCCGAGACCTGAGGCGGGTGCTCATCCTAGACAACTCACCCGCCTCCTATGTCTTCCATCCAGACAATGCTGTGAGTACACATGGGACCTAGGCCTGAGACAGGACAAGAGCACATGATGTGCTGTGGTGACCTCCTCAGCCCTGCCTGGGAAGGTAGTGGGGGGCTGGTGGCTTCCTGTTACCTATGCCTGCTCACCCATTCCACTCCATGCCTGTGTGTGTTTGTGTGTGCAGGGTACTCACCTCTGGCTGGGGTCCCCGTCTGGCAGTTTTCAAGCTGCCTGTTAATGGGACAGAATATATGTAGTGAGTCCCCGATGGGAGCCTAACCAAATGAAACACAGTGAGCTACCTATGTATGTGAACATTTTGCTTATGCTTAGCAGTATCCTCAAATGAAGTCAGCTGCTGTCAAAAAAAACAAAAAAAAAAAAAAAAAACAAAATCAAAACCCAACGTGCTGTGTGGGTAGGACATGCTGTGTGGGTAGGACCTGGGCACCTCAGGGTACCTGCCCTCCTCACTTCCTTCTTGTCTCCCAGGTTCCAGTGGCCTCCTGGTTTGACAACATGAGTGACACTGAGCTACATGATCTCTTACCCTTCTTCGAGCAACTCAGCCGCGTGGACGACGTGTACACAGTGCTTAGGCAGCCTAGGCCTGGGAGCTAGTGAGGTGTCTTGGGGCCAGGACCTGCCCTTCACCAAGGCCCAAGCCTTTTCCCATCAGACTGGGAACCTGCCTGTGCTGTTAACAAAACCCATGGGCTAAGCAGTATCCATGGCCCAGGGGAAGAGGGTGTCTGCACCCCTGCCAGGCTGCATGGAGGACAATGAGCCCTTGGGTCCCAGTGTCAGTGCCTTCAAACTTCTTCCCCTCTTCCCAGGGGACCTGGGGGGCCCTGCCTGCTGCTCCTCCCCCTCCCCCCGTCTTCTCTGTGCTGCCATGTTTCTCTGCTGCCAAATCGGGCCCCATAGTCCAGGTCTTCGGTGGGGTAGGGGTGAGGCTCCTGCTGCCCCATGCCTTGGACCCCACCCCCACCCCAGTCTGGGAAGAGTGGACACCAAGTGCCTTGCATAGAACCCTCTTTGCTGGTCAGCTTTTCCCAGATCTAGGCTGGCATGGAAGGAACAGTCTCTCCCTTCCCCTCCCCTTTCCTGGGATGACGGTACCCCACCAGTTTCTGCTTGGGAGGGAGAGGAAGGAAGTCTCCTGCCACTTGTAAAAGAGCTGGGGAACCTTCCTTAGGGAACACTCCCAATCCAGCTTGTCCACAGCTCTTGGCTGCTCCTTGTATCATTTAAGCCCCCAATCTCCCCTAAGCCTGGGGGTTGGCAGGACTCCCCTGTGGTGCCATATAAATATGTATATGTGTATATAGATTTTTAAAGGGAGGAGAGAGGAAAGGGTGGGGAGACACTCCTCCCTCACCCCTTCCCTGGGCCCAGAAATTGGGGGAGGGAGGGAAAGGATTTTTACATTTTTAAAACTATTTTCTGAATGGAACAAGCTGGGCTGTGAGGGGGTCACAGGCCCTGTTTCTGTCTTTCCCAGCCCTTTTACTCTATTCATCCAAAAAGCATTGAATACCTTCTGTGCCCAGCGGTGAGCTAGTCCCACCAGCTGGGGGGGGGGGTCAGCCTCGTCACTGGTGCCTCACCCCTAAACCCCAGATTCCACCGGTGCCTTCAGAGTATCTGCCACAGCTGGGACCTTCTTGTGGGGATCTCCAAGAAAGCTTACTGAGCTGCCCCTCTCCAGTGCCAACTTACCCCCACCCCCAGTCCCCGCAGCCTCCTCCATGGCCCCCTGCTGGCTGGGGGCAGCTCCCAGGTCACTCTGCCAACTGACTTCTGTTTCTGAAGCCCCACCCCACACCTGCCGAGTCTGGAGTTGAAGTTCTTGGGTTCTCTCCAGAATATGAGGGTTAAGGGGACCCACAAACAAGTGCCAAGGGAGTTGGTTAAGGGAGAGGGTGCGGTTGGCCTGAATCAGATGACCTTCCCAATTAAGTGCCTTCTCTTCTGACTAGCACCTCCGTGTGACAACTAAAGAAAGCTAGACCCCGTCTTAGTCTGCCTCTGTGGTTTTTGGGGAGGGCACTTTAGTGCGTGAATGTCTCATACCTGTGACTACTTTTCAGAACCCTGCTGGACAGGAGGACGTTGGCCTTGAGGGATTGCCTGGGCACTGGGCATCTGGTCGATCTGAGTTAGGTTGCCAGAACCCATGTGATGAAAAAAAAAAAACACATTCCCGCAAATTGTCCTCTGACCTCTCACGTACCATGCATGGCACGAGTTCGCCCCCACCTACACACGCACTCTAAATAAATACAATACGGTGCTCCCACCGCTGGAATGCGGGGCGGGGCCTGCCCGGGGAAGGGTGGGAGGCGGAAGGCTGGGCAGACGCGGGCCGCCTGCAGCCTTCCGGCCAGTGGGGCCCGCAAGGAGGAGACTGGGTGGGGCGGGCGCCAGGGCGCCCGAAGGCCTGCTCGTATTCGCCGTGCCCTAGTCACGCCCCGTGCCCTGATCCGGCCTTGCAGCCTCCTGTCTATGCTGTCCACGCCCCTCCAGCCAAAATCGTCTTCCGCAAACCCCACCTGGGCGGGGCAGGAAGTACCCGGCCAAAGCCGCAGCCTGCCGCTAGGGGCCTCCCGGTCCTTGCTAACCCGCAGCTCCCGGGCCTGGCACTCCCCTGCCTAGAGGACCCCGGATCTGGAAGGATGGGCGCTTGCCCCAGTCACCCTCTCTGGACGGTTGGACCTTCAGGCGTTCCCCATCACACATAGTGTGGGCGAAGGGGGGGGGGGTGGGCCCCTCTCAAATGTTGGTCCCTATCGCAAGCTCCACCTCCCCAGGCTGTCCCTGCCTCATCACCACCAAGAATTTAGCCCCGAGCCTCCTTTGCTTCAGGTGTGAGCGCGGGCGTGTGTGTGTGTCTGCAACAGGTGTGAAACCGTCCCTGACCACATTCTGCCCACCCTACTCCACCCTACTACTCTACCCGATCGATAGGAAAGAGCCAAGAAACTCCCACCTGATGAGAAGCCTATCCCGGAATCAGCTCTGGTCTGGAGCTGCGTGGACCAGGAGAGCCTTTCCGCAAGATTTATACCCTGCCCTGGCCTTTGCGCGCCCTCAGTCAGGATCGGGCTTGGTTTCCTGCTTTGTATGCAAACAGTGGTCGCCTCAAATTTGCATTCCCGGAGGCCAGAGAAGCTGAGCACGAGCTTCCATTGAGACCCACAGTCAAACTCCCCTACCCCTCAACCACACAACCTCTGCTCCCGCAGAGTTAAACTCAACCTCATGTGTGGGTACTCCCTTGTCAGCACCAGCCAGTGTCAGGCTTGTGCTCTTAAGGAACTCGTCCCAGTGCAAGCGACATTAGTTCCGGGATCTAAAGATGGCTCAGCAGTTATGAGCACTGGCGGCTCTTTCAGAGGGTCGAAGTTCAATTTCCAACACCTTCGTGGTGGCTCAGAACAATATGCTACTCTAGTCCCAAAAAAAGCTGCTGCCCTCTTCTGGCCTCTGAGGTCACTGCAGGCATGTGCGGCACAGACACACATAAAAAGAAAAATGTCATTAATTCCAGAGGGATGAAGAGATGCATAGTTTTTTTTCTCTAGGACTAGCTGACACTACTTTTGAACATCCTTAACATCTCTTTGGAGTTAGTTACTCCAGAGAGGCCTCTGAGTGTAAATCCCTCAGGGGCCCTTTGGAACAGTTTCCGGAATTAAAGCATGACTAATTAATTAAAAGAAAGCCTGAAAAAGAGAAAAAGGAAGTTTTAGTCACACTGAAGTGCAGGTGTGGATGCAACCTATAATTTAAGGAAAAGAGGTAAGATAATAGTTTCTTGGCAAGGCAGTGATGGCACACGCCATTAATCTCAGCACTGGGGAAGTAGAGGCAGGGGATCTCTGTGAGTGTGAGGACAGCCCGGTCTACAGAGTGAATTCCAGGACAGCCAAAGTTACACAGAGAAACCCTTTCTTGAAGCATATCATAACTGGTCTTTGATCATTGTTAAAATGTCTACCAGAGGGGCTAAGCAGAGCACCTGCCTAGCATTCCCGAGGCCTGAAATTTAATCCTCAGAACTCAAAAAACAAAACAAAACAAACAAACAAACAAAAAACCCTAAAGTAAATCAGAAAGACTCAGGAATTACTATCTCTGTGGTCCATTTCCTCAGCAGGGAGGTGACTGCTGGCATCTGCAGACCCTCTAGGTCTCCTTCATAGTTGTTGATTGTTGCTTTGTGTTTTGTTTTGAATGCTGGGAATTGAACTAAGGGCCTCATACATGCTAGACAAGTGCTCTACCACTAACCTACATCCCAGCCCTAATCCAGCCAGTAGGGCAATGAGGAGTACAGGCATGGTGCAGACATGTAACCCCAACACTGACTGAGTAGGGTAAGTGCGCAGGGTGAGTAACTTGGAAAAAAGGCTGCCTTTCTTGATTGTGTTACCCTTGGGGAAGTCAATGAATGACTTAGAGGCATTGTTAGGGTCTTGTGATGAAGTCCAAGAGATCCTCCTGCCTCACCTTCCAAGGGCTGAAAGGACAGGTGTTTGTTACCAAGGTCAGAAACTTAGAGACTTTCTCTAAGAACTCTGTTTAGTTCAGTAAAGACTAACAATAAACAAGAAAAACAAAAGGGTTTGGAGATAGCTCAGAGTTCAGTTTCCATATCAACAGCTCACAACCACCTCTAACCCATCTCCAGGGGAACACACCTAATAAAAGCAATAAACCTCACAATGAGAACGATTTAAGCAAGGTTGGGAATGGAAATTTGCACACCCATAGTCCCAGCACTCAAGAGGCTGAGGCAGGACAGTAAATTGGAGGCTAGGTTGGGCTATGTCAAAAAGCCCTGCCTCAATAAAACAAAAAACAAAAAGATTTTTAAGCAAGACACTGGGCTTCACCTGTTTGTTTTGTATGGCCAACAAGGTTGTCTAGATTCCCACTACCTGGAGGTAATCTAACCTAAAGGTTCATAATTCCACTGAGGACAAACTCTTAGTCAAATGTCGTGTCAAGTGAAATAAAGATGACTTTGGAGTTACTTTATCAAAACACACACAAAACAGAAATAAATTGAAACAAAAACAAATTTAAAAATTATTTTGAGGGCTGGAGGTGGTGGTTGGTGCGCATCTTTAGTCCCAGAACTTGGGAGGCAGAAACAGGCAGATCTCTGTGAGTTTAAGGCCAGCCTGGTTTATAAAGATACACAGAGAAACCCTGACTCAAAAAATTTAAAAAAAAAAAAATCATTTTGAGAGGCTAGAGAGATGGCATAGTGGTTAAAAGCACTGGCTGCTCTTCCAAAAGTCCTGAGTTCATAGCCAGCAACCACATGGTGGCTCAAAAATACCTGTCATGAGATCTGGTGTCCTCTTCTGACCTGCAGGCACACATGCAGGCATAATAAATAATAATAAATAAATACAACTTTTTAAAAAATCATTTTGAGGTCTTGTGATGAACAAAACATCACATTTCCATAGAGTAAATTGTCCAAATGGTCAGGGACACCATGACACCCAAAATGACACTAAGAGGGTCCGGAGTGTCTCAAGTTAGCGGTAATAAAACAGATTTTTCACAGAGAGATGCTTCCACCAGTCAATGCCAGCAGAATAAATACTTGCAGATTGGAGTTAAATGAGATGTTTCAAACGACAGTTTGAAAACACTGGGACTTACAAATGTTATCCCTAATATTATCTTAGCTTCCAGATAGGATTTTGGTTTGTTGATTTGTTCAAGACAGGGTGTCATGTCACCCAGACTGGCCTAGAACTTGATAATGTTGCTAAGGATAACCTTGACTACCTTGGCCTCCTGCCTTCCCCTCCCAAGTGCTGGGATTACAGGAGTATTCCACACCTAGCTCTAGGTGCAATTTAGGAGGAAAAAGCTCTGTTCGCCAACAATCACATTTGTGTCTTGGGATACCTTCATCCAGGTAGCTATCACCCAGTTCCAGATGTTTGTTTCAGTCCCGTCTTGCCAGAGAACGCTCCGAATGTAGCTAATGCTATCGAAGCATGGCCACGTCTGTCATAACTAGAATACTGACTCTGCAGCTCACAAGAATGGAACCTACGAAGCACACCGTGCCACCCAAAAAGAAATTGAGAACAGATGCATGTGAGTGCTGTGAACATCTGTGAGCAGCTTGGGAGGTTGGAGGTCACAAGGATACCCTCACCTTGTAAGGGCAGCCCCGGAGTGGGGGGGGGGGGAATGACGGGGTCAGACAGCAATTCCGTGCTGCAGTGAGGCTTGACAAAGAGGGGTGCACGAGAAGGATGAACTCCTGAGCAAGGCCTCAAAGCTGGCTGTACCAGAGAGTACAGCAAATGAGAAGAATGGCGGATGGCATCCAAGTAGAGGAGGATGGGGGGGAGGCTGTAGATTAAGGGTCGACATCTCATACTTTATTTATTTATTCATTTTAATTTTATTTTTTATTATTTTATTTTATTTTATTTGAGACTGGGTTTCTCTGGGTAGTCTTTGCTGCCCTAGAATTTAGTCTGTAGACCAGGTTGGACTTGAACTCAGAGATCCATTGCCTCTGCCTCCCCAGTGCTGGCATTAAAGGCATGTGCCACATCTGACTTACTTTTATTTTCATAGTGTTTTAGTTTATTTAAGTACAGACTAATCTCACATTTACTATGTAACTTACTGTGTTAGGATGATCTTGAACTCCTGATCCTCCTGCCTGCCCCTCTCCAGCAATGGGATCACAGGCATGAGCCACCACACTGGGTTTATGGGGCTCTGAGGATCCGACCTGGGGCTTTCTAGGCAAGCACTCTCCCAAATGGAGCTACATTGTCGGTTCTTCTTTCTTTTTAATTCATTTGTTAATTTTTGAGATGAGGTCTTGGTATGTAGCTCTGATACTTGATATGTAATTCAGGCTGACCTTGAATGGCAATCCGCCTATCTCACTCTCCTAAGGTCCTGGGATTATAGGCATGTACCACCAGGTCCAGTGAAAGTGTTATTTTATAGGCATAGGGTACA